CTGCTTTAAGTGACCAAATAATTAAAATGCCTTCAGATTTGGAGATAAATATAAATAATACGCGTGGTCAGAGCTATGATAATGGTTCCAATATGAGAGGAAAACATAACAGAGTTCAAAAACGCATACTTTATAATAATCCTAAAGAATTTTATGTACCGTGTAGTTCTCATTCGTTAAATTTAATAGTTAATGATGCAGCGAAATGTTATATTTACACAGACTCATTTTTTAATACAGTATAAAAACTGTAAGTGTTTTTTTTCGGCGTCTGCTGAGAGATGGAAAATTCTGATTAAATTTTTACCCAAATTAACATTGAAGAAAATTTGTGACACGTGATGGGAGTCGAGGATTAATGCGATATCAATTTGAAGAAATTTACAATGCTTTGAATTTTAGTAAGGATGATATAAACTTAACTGGAACGCATGGTCTTCAAACAAAAGCAGATGCATACGCTCTTTTAAAAAATATGTGTGATTTTAAATTTATATGTTCCATTATTATTTGGTATGATAAATATATCATAATACTCAATAGATTATTGTTAACCCTGTAAGCAAACAACTACAGTCTATCCAATTTGATATACAAATTTCTGTTAAAAGTATATCAGAAATTATTGAGTTTTTAAAAGAATATGGAATGAATGGATTTTTTAAAGTCAAATTAACTGCTAAGAAATTACATCAGTCATAAGAATATTGGAGGAATTCCCTCAAGTCCATCAAGTGCATAAACGATTCAAGAAAATTAATTTCAACTATGAAAATAAAGATGATTGTCCTCTTCATAACTTAGAAAAAAAATTTGAAGTAGACTTCTTAAATACTGTAATAGATACTGCTATAAATTTGTTACAAGACAGGTTCATCCAGTTAAATAATCATAGTTCTAACTTTGGTTTCCTGTATGATATAAATATTTTAAAATCTTGGGAGCATGAAACCATACTAAAGCATTGCAAAGATTTAGAGATATTACTATCATCAAATGAAACTTCTGATATTAATATCATTGAATTATTTGAAGAAATTAAATTATTTTGTCAACTAACCGAATCAAATAGTTTTCCAAGTAAAAATCTTAAATATATCTTCAGTCATCAACTTCAGGAAATTTATCCTAATATTGCAATAAGTTTAAGAATTATTTTTATAATTCCAGTGACGGTAGCGTCTGCTGAAAGAAGTTTCTCTAAACTGAAACTTATAAAAAATCATTTACGATCAACAATGAGTTACAAACGTTTAACTGGATTATTAATTTTATCCATTGAAGCAGAGTTGGCACAAGAACTAAACTTGGAAAATTTAGTACAAGATTTTGCAACAAGAAAGGCAAGAAAAGTTAATTGATAATTTTAAAGTATTATTATTATAATTATAAATATTTTTCTTAATTGTATTTTTTTTTTTTTTTATACTAACTACTAACAGTATGTATACTATAGTCTCGTGTATTATTCTACTTTTTAAAGTTGTATATATATATATATATATATTTATGGTTTTGTGTATTTCTAATTTGTAAATCAACACATTTATAAAAAAAATTTAATTGCAATATAATGCATGTAACTATTTAATTTAGTATCTTAAGATCAGCATTAAAATGTTCGCTTTAGGGTGGAAAATATCTTACGACGGGCTTGTGCATATTTGTACAAACCAAGCGTACGTATGATCGTACTGTGTCGTCATACATTAAAATTAGGAACCGGAAACCGACGTTATGTTAAACATAAATAATGCGTCCTTATAAAATATATTTATGACCGTTGAAAAGTATTAAAACATCCCTACAAATCGCACTGTGAACAGATGAGATGATCTAAATGTATTTACATTATATTCATTAAATGTATGATACATTTAATTACGTTTAATATTTATTATATCATAAGTATTATATCACGGCTATAAAATTAAAATTTAGACAAATGTTAAATCACCTGTAGTATAAATTAAATGCCCACCTGTAATTTATCTGGATGGGATAAATATCGAAGTTAATAAATGTCAACACTCCATTGTTGGACAAGATTTTGTTTCTCAATAACCATAATTTGTTCATTATCCCCCCCCCCCCCCACTACCACCTTGGGTCTCCCCAATTTATTTGAATAAAACAAAGTTATTGTTAAAAATATGATCTATATAAACACTAAAAAATATTTTTTATCTCAGAAAACCCTAAGGGTTACGCTAACCTGAGTTATTTTTATTTATACAACTCTTAACATATAGTTGAATTGTTATAGTATTCTTTTATTCATTAAATATATAAATATATTTTTTTTTTTAACAACAATATTCCGAATAAGACTTATGATTAAAGTTTTCTGTATCATAATCTAATACTACTCCAGTGTACACCATACACCCACGCACATAATATAAATACGAACATTATTTATAGTTTTTAAGTTACCACGTTCTTAATCACCAAGCATTCATCTAAAGGTCAGTTTTGACTATAACTGACCTTTAGACTTAAGTATAAATATGCTCATAATATAAAGGATTCCTTGCTTCCGTATTTAATCTGATTTGATTAACCCTGTTTACTTACTCTAAAAAAGATTATAATACCATCATTACTGCTTCATGAATAATATATATTATTTATAAATCATTTTACTAATCATTAAACTTCAGCATATCTATATAATAACATTTTGTGGTCTGTCAAGAATTTAAATACCGTTCAATTTTATTTACTAAAGATGTAGTATGTATGTAGAGAAAACGAAAGTTTTCACAATACAAGTATAGTTATACAAGTTTAGTTATGTAAATATAAGCACATATATTATGTTTGCATATGTAGTGATGTTGTTATAATTTTGTGAACCATAAATGAGATTTTTTTTATATGATGCCAAACTCAATGTAAAATAATAGGTAGTTTAGATGTTATTGCATCAAATTAAAAACATTAGCTTAAGATAAATTATAAGTCTTACCGAACAACTGCAAATCTCATGGGCAATAAAATAAGGAAACCTGGAATCTATTGAATAATTTTAAAAATTATTTATTCTCGGAACTTTAAAATGGAAATTGATATTATACATATTTTTTTTTTTTTACAATTAAACACTTTTACATATATTCCAAACAATAGTCGTTACTGTTATACAAATGTAATGTCTAATAAAGTTATATTAAAACTTATGAAACAGCATCGCGTATTGAACATTATTTCCGCGCCTTAATTACGTACAATGACAATATTTTAACAGTGTAAATATCTTTAAGTGCAACTCGAATAATTCACGTGCGTATAATAATCGATCAACATATAATAATAATATTAAACATCTTTTTTATATATATATATTATTTTTAGCCTATATTTAATATAATACAATGAGTAAATCTGATAAATAAATTTAATGACACGAAAAGAGAAAATATTCAATAATATCACTCTAAATATTAAACACTTAAAAATTTTTTCATTCGACTTATTAAACATTCCGTGTGCTTATGAATATAATTTTTTCGTTACACGTATGTTTAGTCGAACGCAAGTCGATTATAAGACTTTTGGTGAAGTAACAAACAATTTATGACAACTTAGTAATTATAATTGCAGTACAGAAAAAAAAAAGTAATCTCCATAACAAGAAAACGTCAATTTATTTTTAACCCCTATGGTTTTTTTTTTTTTTTTTATCGACATTAAATAATATTATACATTGAATTTTGATTTTTGTTTTTACACGTTTGACGCATGAATACGCATATATCAAATCTTATATTATTATATACATTACACATATGATTCATGAATAATTCAGTACAACAAGAAACATTTTTTTTTTTTTTTTGCACACATTCAAACATTTATTTTGGCACTCAGAGATTATTTTAAAAAATAAATAATAATAATAGTATTAACAAAAATAATAAATATAAACAGATCAATAGGTTTAGTGATGACGCACAATTTCGCATGTACACAATAAAAAATAGATAACAATATAACCGTACCATCTATACATATAAACAGGTGTATAATATAACATATGATCTCTCCTATATCTCAAAGAAGTATACGGTTTGGCTTTACGCTCGGGCATAGATGAAGATAGGATTGGGAGACTTAGTGCATTTATATGGGACTGGACGAGTAGAGCTTGTCGAATACGCACTTAATTCCAAAGCAAGATGGGTGCAAGGTATGAGTCCAAATATTATACTGGCCATTCTATTAGCATATTTCAATTACCTGGTAACATTTTTAAATTTCACACGAGTTCGAGAATCAAATCGAATTGAACGCGTTCCCTAAGTGCACGCGTCGAACGGACACATACCTATTATAAAATGCTTGGAGTACGAAATGTTTAATCAATGGAAACTATACTGAAAGTCCTAATATTTTGAAAATAAAATTTCCATTTAAGCTGCAAAGAAAATAGTTCGAATTCGATTAAACATTTACACATTGCGAAACTTTTGGCTCGCTATACTTCGTTGTCATTAGATTAATGTGTACAATATAATCAGTGTTATGAGCGCTTTATAATATTGTTCAAAATAATAAAAACAATACAATATTACACGACTTTTCATCGTGGTCACTCAAAACACTAGGTTGATTAACGTCTATAATATTAAAAAACAGTTGAAACACATTGAAATGGTCTTAAAATTCTAAATTTCATTATTATTAGAGCTGTACGTAAAAATATTGCATAAACCGTAAAAAATACTGGAAGTTAATTTTCGTTTAAATGAGCACAAATAATTGTAAACACACAACAAACACATACACTCGGGCCCGCGCACAACACGGTTAAATTACGCATTTACGCTTACCCTTTTTTTTTTTTTTTTTATATAGTTATAATATATAATGTATAATAATTATTAATATATTTATGTACACACCTTTATCTATATATACATACATACACGGGCAGTTTTGAGACTAAAATCATCAGATTCGGCATTTCCTAGTTTCACTTGAAAAACGTAAATGTATGTCGGTTATTATTTTTAAACGTTCGTCATGACTAGTATCGAACGGTCGATGTCGGCGGTGAGAGCGTGAGTCGAGTGGTTGAGATGTATGTACGGTATAGGATTACAATGCAAATGTTTACAGAATTGTTACCCTTAAGTACTGATATCGAAATACATTGTGGCGTGCGAAGACCAATGCGCGTGAACAGAATAAATGCCATAAATGTAAATTGTATCTTTATCGTCAAATCGTCCATAACCACTACAACATATCGTTGTACAATATCATATATTATATATTTGTATGATATTATTTTGTATAAATTATGCAATGTAATTTATTAGTCCAATTATTGTTGCGTTATTAGCGCTTGAAATTAATTTTTTTATAATTTATAGTGTCTACTACAACCAAAAAACCATTTGTTTTCAATGCATACAAATTTGTCGCAGTAAGTCTCAAACGGGTATGAACACGAAAATATATATCTACAATAAAAATTGAAAATGTATAATATGTAATTGCTGACTAAAAATGATTTTGTGGACAATGATTTGAAAGTTGTATACATATTATATAGTTATTTTTCACGTTGTATGAAATGACTCCGATTTATTCTAAAAATGTATGATTCTATGTCAATTTATTACTAAGAAATTTAAGAGGTATAATACTTCGTTTGCTGTTAACTCGATCGTTTCTACGCATTAAATTCTCCATCGACCGTCCGCATAACTGTTAAAATAATGTCATATTAAATGTTATCAATTACGTTAGACACCGTTAACGTTTCGATATAATTTAGGAAATGTTATCTTTCTTACATACCGATGATCTTCTTTCCAGTTCAAACGTCTATTTTTGAAGCTGTGTAGTTATAAGGAAAAAACAATAAATAAACAAATAAATACCTCTCCTTACATCTAAGTTCAGCTGGTAAAAATGCATTGTTGTTTAATATGTTCTTCGCTAATGTTTGAAGTCGTTTAATTCGTTATATGTGCTCCCTGTCACGTGTCCTCAACGTAAATGCATTTATATATTATTCCTACCAGTTTAACCACGGTTGTACGTTTTTTTTTTTTTTTTATAATTCCAGCCGGTACACAAGTAACGTTTTGTGTACATTTATCGGTGACCTTACTACGCAGATAAATGGCCGAATGTGGTTTCAATACATTGTTAAGTCGTGTGCGGAATTTTTTACAAACATGTACCTTTACCATTTTTTTTACTACTATTGGCAACGTAAAATGTGTGTCGGTTCACCTGGTTTATGTTGAGTATGAATAATTAGGGCTCGGATTTAATAGCAACAAATATATATATAGATGCATTACTTAAAGTTTATTTTCTGTGTAAAAATGGTATTGTGTTAAACAACGGTCGATTATAGTCAGTATATTTTTAAAGTCGATCTTCGTTGTTGTTAATTAGAATCGGCCAAAACCCTGATTGGCACCAGTCAAACTACATTTCAAACTCATTATAGTTATTAAATAGTTTCTAGCTGTTCTTTATAAGTACCACTATATACATCTGTCTTAATAAATGAACGAATAAATCCAATATTTTATAAAGATATTTAATAAAAAGAAATGTACCTAATAAATGTAACAATTCTTGGTTTTAAAATGTTTGTTTAGAAATTTATTCTATGTAATGGAAAGTGATAAAAAACCAGAATTTTTTTTTTCAATAATTTGAGTTTGAGTTAATGTAAATTATAATTAATGTGTTTAAGCACGTTTACATGAGATCAGTAGTCAAAGCTATTTTTTTAAGATTTTTGATTGAAATATAATAATTAGTAATTTTTCTGGTGGTATATTAACGAAATTCCAGAGTAATAATTAGCAAAAAAATATATGTGAAATAAAATGTTGAGTTCACATAATTTTCCTACCTCGTATAACTAATTTTTATTCTGCACAGCCATTCTCATATAAACTCTAAAGCCATAATATCCGAGTCTTGAGTATTAAACATAATTACTAAGCAATACTCTTATAGGTAGTAGAATAAAAAAGGGTATATAAACGTAAAACATTGAAACAACATTTTTAAAAAATTTTGTTTTTATTTTTATGGCTTTTCCATGGTAATTCAAAACCAACAATTGTAATAATAATAAAATATAATGAATAGTTTTATAATGATATTACACTTGACTATATAATTACAAACAAAAAAAAAAAAAATGTAACAGTTACATTTTAGCCATATCTCAATATAATGTAAATTATTCAAATAAGTAAACTGGATAATAATTAATAATGCTCGTGGTCACACGGATAAATAATAGAAGCTTCGAAGCGAAAAAAAATAGCAAGTATAAAAGGATTTAAAGCGAAAAGAATATTTAAATAGATAACAATCAAGTCTTCATTCTCTGCCATTTTAAATAAAAAAGAACCTGCACCGCTATAGGTTAGCACACTTTTCTAAAGAGTTTTCATATACATTTTTAATTGAACCTCGAAAATAGTTGCTACCATTTTATATACTCATTAGTCTAACCCCAAACACGCCAGTTAAGTATTTTTTTAGCGGGCCGTCCTAACGAATGCTTTTCAGCTCTTTAAAAAGTTATTATTATTTTTTTTTTTTTTCTAATGTGTCCATTGTTACGGTCAATTTAGTCTATGTATGTATGTATGTATGTATGTATATAAATCGTGAAATATATAATTAATATATACGTACACGATGTAGCGTAACAAATACATGAATATACATTAGATATTTAACAAATTCGTGTTATGAATACGTAAGATCTTGGTCGGGTTAGCTTCGCACAAATTTTCGATTTACCCGCACGGGATATGTGTACATGTATCATACCGTACAACATGTATAATGTATGCGTAGTATCAGTACATTATGTACGGTAAACATAGTATGGGATGTTCGAATTGTGTGCGATTAGCACGATGAGGATCTCACGCGCGTCTTGTACGGGACCCGGTTTTTACACGAATTTTTATTCGTCGGATGTATGTTTTTATATATTTGTATTCACACAAAATACACACGCACACATATATCTATATACACACAAATTATAACAGAAACGTTAACAAATATGTACATTTTAGTAGTATACATCGTCGTCTGGTATCGCATATTTTTATGTATTTTTTTTTTTTGATTCGAAGCGAAAAAACACGAATAAAATAATAATAATGATAATAATAATAATAATAATGGAATGTTGTTGTAAAACATAATAATAATAATAATAATAATAATAATAATAATATTAAAAAAAAAGTAGTACGCGCGCGTGAACAACACATTTAGCGGATGAATAGGTAGTAAGAATCGTAATGAAAACGTATATCGTACAGAGTTCTGAATCAGGACCAAAGACATTTTCCACGAATTCAGATTCGACGGATACCGATTGTTGGTTTTTGATTGTTTTCTTTTTCGATTGTTGTCAATCATTAATTGCGTGCGATGATTAACTATTGCGTTTGTTCCTATTATACTATATATTACAGTGGTTCTTAACCTGTGCTACGTGAATACAGTTAGGTTTCAGCCCCATACGATTAGATAATCGTCACTTAATTTTATGGATGGTTTATTTTTTTATTTTTAATGCATTGCTGTATCTCGTGTTTGTTAATTCATCCACTTTTGTTTATCTCCTTAACACTAATGCGTATTATTGAAATACAAAAAAAAAATTAGAAATATTCTTACATATCCTACATACTAAATACAAACGTTTGAAAAAAAAAAGTGATTTTATAATTATTTACTCTTACCGAGTCGAATAAAAAAAAAATTAAACCCAAATATACTGGGTACGTAAAAAACATTGTACGTTTAATAACGATGACATAAAATTGATTTTTTTTTTTTTGCTACAAGCAGCAGTCATCATACAGAAAAACGATTGTGTTTTACACTTTTGAGTGTACTAATGGTAAAAAAAAAAAAAAAAAAAAATGAAATATGATTTATTATCATAAGACTACGATAATATTATTGAAAGATAGAGACGGGGCCATTTGTTCTTCAATACGTTAAGAACGGTTAAGAAACACTGTTATATAGTACGCAATACATAATACTAATAAATATGTAACCCAGTAGCACCAGAGTTGATCTTATACTCTACAACAACAGACCCAGACGTCCAACCCTTTGCAATAATTCGCAGTCGTATCGACAAAAATGTTTGCCGACCAATTACCAAAGAACCCACCAGAGGGAGTACGTAAGCAAATTGCCCATGTAGTGTACACCCATACGTACACATGTGTTCATATTTACATGAGTTTTGGTACCAAAAGCACCCGGTAATGCGTAAAAATTCAGAATTAATTCGAGCGCAAATCAAGCAGAGGACGCGGTATATATGATATGTTAGCGCGAAGAACGAAGAACGTCGAATTAAATTCGTACGCATAGTTATATATTAGTTATTGTTTACTAACTACAGTAATACGAGATGGTAATGATAAAAAATTGTCAAATCGGAACGTTGAAATCATTAGCACGACGAGCGTAAGCTTATCAGAACGAGCTGAAAATAAATTGCTGCGAAGAAAAAATGAAAAAAAAAAAATGCAGTGAACCACGAATCGGGCATTCCTGGACTCTATTGAATATTATACTGGGGCGTATAATATCGTTCTAAAAATTAAGTAAAAATAGTAGAAGAAAAAAAAATAGATAAAATAAAAAAGAAATCGTTCACACAGACCGTGTTGATTTCCCTTTTTATTTCACGATTTTTGGTTTTCTTCAATGAATAGCGTTAGGAACTTGTCTGGCCGCGTCATTGCTCTCCATGTCGGACGACGTGGACCCGGGCCTGTTGCTGTCTTGCTGCTGCTGCTGCTGCTGCTGTTGCTGCTGTATCTGTTGCTGCTGAAGCTGGTGCTGGTGGTGCTGCTGCAACTGCTGCAGCTGTAACTGCTGGTGGTGCTGCTGGACGGCGAACGCAGCGGCGGCGGCCGATTGGCTGTGCTGCTGCTGGCCGTGGAGATCGTCACCGGCTCCGGCACCGCCGCCGTTGTTGTAGAACGGGAACGGCGACGGGAAAATGCTCATGGGGTGATGCGAGTACGGGCCGGACTTTGCCGACGCGGCGGCCGACGGGTAGAACGGGTTGTAGAACGACCGGACCACCGCGGCGCCGTTCTTCTCGTGGTGGTGCAGCTGCTGCTGGTGGTGGTGCTGCTGCTGCTGCTGCTGGTGATGGTGCTGCTGTAGCCCGTGCACCGCGTTCATGTTGATGTCGGATGTTATGGTGGACGTGGGCGGCAGCGGTGGCGAGCCGGTGACCTGCGACGTCGGCGACGGCGACCCGCCGCCCGTGGTCTGCGCCACGGCCTGCTGCTGCTGAGCCACCAGTTTGGACAGGTGAATGGGATCGAACGACGGCATGGCCGCGCCCAGGTACGGGTTGACGAGCCCGGCAGTCGAGTAACCAGCCGCAGCGGCGGCGCCCAGTCCTTCGAACGAGTGCAGGGCCGGGTGATGGCCGGTCGAGAAGTACGGCATCGGGAAGTTGGCCGCGAAGTTGGTGGCGCCCGAGCCCGCGCCGGCCGCCGACACCACCGGGAAGCTGTGGAAGTTCGGCTTGTGGTGGTGGTGGTGGTGGTTCATGGCCTGCACGCCGGCGGCCGCGTGCATGGCCGCGGCCACGGACATGCCGTTGCCGTTGTGGTGGTGATGATGGTGCCCCACGCCGTTCATGTTGCTGCTAGTGCTGTTGTTGTTGTTGTTGTTGTTATTGTTGTTCGAGTTGCTGTTGTTGTTGTGCAGCTGGATCTTGGGTTTGCGGCGCGGCCGGTACTTGTAGTCCGGGTGCTCTTTCATGTGGAGCGCGCGCAGCCGCTTCGCCTCGTCGATGTACGGTCGCTTCTCCGACTCGCTGAGCAGCTTCCACTCGGCGCCCAACCGTTTGCTGATCTCCGAGTTGTGCATCTTCGGGTTGTCGTGCGCGATCAGCCGCCGCTGGATCTTCGCCCACACCATGAACGCGTTCATCGGCCGCTTGATGTGTTCCGGCTTGGCGCCCGCCGCGACCTGTTGCTGCTGCTGCTGCTGGGCTTGCTGCTGCTGCTGCTGTTGTTGGGCCTGCTGCTGGGCCTGCTGCTGCGCCTGTTGCAACTGCGCCTGCTGTTGCTGTTGCAGCACCAGGGCGGCCGGTGGCGAGACCGACGTGTCCAGCGACGCCCTGTTGTGGTGGTGGTGATGATGGTGGTCCATGATGAAGTCGAAGTTGGTCATGTGCGGCGGTGCGTCCATGTCGGGCGGCGCGAGCGCTGGTCCTTCCGCGGTTCTCTCCTCGTCACGGGCGGCGACCGACGGAACGTGCCGCGGGTACTCGTGCGTGGCGCGACGTCAGGTGCTCTAAACGGCGAACAAATAGAGTATCGTACGCACGCACTCGGTGACGGGTCGCGGTCCGGCGAGTCGACGTGTCCGCGGACGTCGCGCACGATCGACGGTGATCGGATTCGGAAACCGTTCGTTGCCTTTGCGGGGTCGATCCGGACGAAAGAGGAAAACGGAAAACAATGCCGATCAATGTGACCGGTGCGCGCGTGCGGACGAAAAAAACCGAACGGAACAACGCAGAGATGATGGTGTCGACGATACGAGCGATGTCGGACGGACGTCGAACACGAACGCGGTTACGGTACGGAATGAACGGCGGACCGGTCGGACGAGAGCGTCTCGAGACCGTCTCGTTTCCGCGGAACGGTAGGAGCGCGCCCTGGGTGGAGCCTACGCGCCGGCCAATGGGCGTCCCCGTGCCGCGGCGTGTACATCCGTGCGCTACCGACACCCGCGCGGCGGCGGCGATTTCGACGATCAATCATCACGACTTCCCCGACGACCTACTCTTCGCACGATCTTTTTCTTCTTTCCACCCCCTCCCCCTCCCCACCGCGATTTCTAATAATTTTCTACGGCCACCAGTGCAAGTTATCGTGGATACGCTCGCCGCGAACTATTGCGCCCCAAACGCGTTCACCGTTTTGCGGTAAATAATACAATAATGCGCGACAGCGTTAATACCGGGCCCGGCTCAAGGGGTAGGTGATATAGGCCCACGCCTAGGGTGGCATTTTTCCTGGACAATTTTTGTGTACAAAAAAAAAAAATATTTGATAAAATATTTACACGTAAGGGACGTCGAAAACTAAATTTCGCCCATGTTTGTTTAAACACTTGAACCGCGGCCTGGATAATACAATTACCAAATGCCCAACACACACGGTAACGTGAATGAAATATGAATAAAAAACGATTACCACTATTTTCATTGTATATTTGAAAACTACATTTTCGTATTATCAATTATTTATTTTTTATTCCTAGTGAAATGTAGGTTGCCGTTTTATCGGTGTTCAATAAACGTAAGTGCCCTCGTACTAAAAAAAAAAAAAAAAAACGTGCACTTTTATTTTAAGAACACGTTTGGAATTGATTCGTGATAACAATAAATAACTATTAATATAATCGATAGTGGTGGTCGAATGGGTGGGGTTAAAGGAGATATTCCAAATATGTCATAATTTATGTTTACCAATAACCTAATTAACATTTATGATTATTCGATAGTAATTAATCAACGAAAAAATATAAATAAATACGATAAAATCGAATATTTGTTTTGATTGTAACTCAGACTTGAGACTTGACATTTTCACTGCATTCTTCTATCACCGTTATAATTTTTAAAAAAATCTTAATTTTATTGAGCTAATTAAAAATATTTGTAAATTTTACGTTTTCTTTTTTTTTGTAAAATGTTGATAAAATTATTGTTGATTGACAGAAAATCTTTAAAACTGAATTCAACGATTCACATATATTTCTTTTTCTAATTAAAAAAAAAAAAAAAAAAATGAGTTTTTAAATATTCAGTTTTGACGACAAAATCACGAAAAGCCGACACATTTAAAAAGTTCATAAAACTTTCAAATTCAATACTTATGACTTGGGAATTGAATAGAAAATGTCTGATTAAATCTTTTCACTAGTCAAAAAATCTTTACTTCAAAGTCACTAAAAAATGTATATGCGTTTGAAAGTGAAATGTTAACAAAAAAAGAAGGCTATTTCAACGAATTTCGATTTCACGATCCTAGTTATATTTGCTTCGTCGTAGTGAACACCATTTAATTATATCCAAGTACCATATCATTCTAACAGCGTGTAAATGAATACTATGTACAAACTAAAATATTCCATGCTATCATGTGGTACCAGCAGGTACTGTAATAATAGTGGACCGTTTGGAACGGTTGTCAATATTTTAATCAGTCAGTTGTCTAATATTTTGATCGTGACGCGTAATTATTCCGACTGAACCAACCTAGCCTAACATGAATACGATCAGCGTGTTTGTTAAATAACGGACTTTTAAGACTAGGGGAACGTATTTTACAAACGTGTTGTATACCAACACCTAGGATATTTGTTTAACGAATGTTGCGGTCGTGCTCAGAGTTATACGGGCTAAAGTTAGTGACCGGTGGCGTTGGGGTTGTACAACGTGTGCACATTGTTCTCGACACGGTATCGGTATTTGATGGGGTGGCAATAGATAAACAAACGGGGTAGAAATGTTGATCGATTCAAATCTGTACGGGGCAGAATGTTTTTTTTTTCTTAATATCTCTCAAGTAATTCGACACGTATTTCCATATTGGGTGCAGTTTATATTCGCAAACCTAGTTTTAATAGCGGAAACGGATTCATATATTACAATAGATCCCGCTGGTGATGGTGGCCAAACTATTTTCTGCAATTACTCGGCTTAAGTGCGAAATAACCTATTAACGAATATCTATACACCTATAATCGGATGGTATAAAACACGTGTCATTAAATTATTTTCAATCTGGAACAAGCTAATGGATCGTGCTAATGATCTATGAGTGTTCATTAATGGGCAGGTAGTTACCGTTTCCGCAAAAATTTGAAATGATCGTTTCCGCCCATATGGTAAAAATCCAGGAGGTGTATCCGATTGTTTTGTATTTGATTTAATGTCAGATATGAAGATTCTAAATTTTCACCAAAATAAGGCATGCGTAACAAAAATTTTATGTCAAAATATTAAGAATTGTAAATCGTTTTATTCGCCCTTAAATCAACAATTTTATAATAAATCATATCCAACTGTAAGTATATTTTTAAAAAAGTTGGTTGAAAATGTCAACATGGACACTAACATTAAAATAGATAGAGCTGATTTAAATATTCGTAATACACCGTAAAATAAATGTACTTTGTTAAAATTTGCTAAGAATAGCAAGGCTATGAGTGATTTAAAAAATAAAATCGGGTTACTCGTTTGTAAAGACTGTTGCATTTAATTATGTTAAATAAACTAACAAATTATTATGATTTTTAATTATTCATATTTTTATTTTTAAGAGACAGTATTATGTACCTATTTATAAATTAGTATCTTGATTTATTATTATATTTTAGAAAACTATGTTGAATAAACAGAAAAACTTATTATTATAAATATAAAAAAATATTATTCTTTATATTGTTTACTTTAAAAATTATAAGGATTACATTCCAATAACATGGAATATATTAAAACCTTAGCAGGTAGATTGGTGGAAATGAGAATCATAATCATATTTTAAATTTATGGAAAAGGTTATTTCAATTTTGATGGAAGCGGGTAATTTTCTTATAGATTTATTTACATGAAAGCCCGGATTGAAGGGGGATCTAGCTAGGGCGGTAGCCCCGAGGCCTTGTCGAGTAGCCAAGTGAAAAGAGCCCAAAAAATTTTAAGCCTATTCACATTTTTTATCATACTAAAACTAATAGTTTTATAAACATAAATTGTGTATACATATTAATTTTATAATGAAATTGACAATTTGTGAAATAGTTAAAAAAATGTATTGCCCTGCGAGCGTAGCGAGCAGCTTTGTAAAGCATGTTTTATTAAAAGGGCCCATATAAAATTTCAGCCCTGGGAACCAAAAGGTGCTTAATCCGGCCTTGTGTACATGTGTTTATATTTGGCACGTTTATCTACTTAATTTTATTTAGGGTACGAAAAATGTGATGTGGGCTGTGAACAATAAACAAATAGTTGATTGTGATAATATTTGTAACACATCAATATGGCGTAAATAGCATGTATTTTCATTACTGTATACAAATTCCCTATCGTACATATTGTAACCGATCGGTGAATAAACGCACAACGGTATTAATGATGATTGAGCGAAGTACATCGAAAAAAAAATCGCTTATTAAAATAGAATGACGTAGCGACTACCTTTAGATATAAAAATTATACTTATAAGTTATTTATATCATTAAAATATAAAAATCAAAATAAGTACACAGTTTTGATTAGTACTTTTTCTGATGAATTTTTATAATATATTTTCGAGCATAAATTAAAATTAAATATATTTAAAATATACAACATCTGGTATTTTAGTACTTTAAATAAAATAAATTAACATCTTCCTCAATAGCAAAAGCGGTGATGTTAGGTATGATAGAAAATTCAAAAACCCATAACAACGGAAATTTCTCCTTCACCTTTCTCCCAACTATGTGGGGACGGCCCCATAACAATGAAAAATACAGGGAAAAAAATAAGATGAAATATGCAATAAAAATGTACAATCACAATTCCAATTCCGTTCACATCACCAACTAAATTTACAATATTTTCAGAATTTTTTTTTTTTTCCGTACCAAGCCAATTTATTAATATTCTGTGTAAAATATAAACTATACACTAAAAAACTTTCGTAAAATATAATCTCGATAGTTTTATGCCCGCCATAAAACTTTCATAAATTACAGTTGACGGGCCGTGATTATAATTATCGAGCATATTTAAATACCTGTTAGTAAGCAAGTGTATATAACAATCGTCTGCTCTAAAATATTTTCGAATTGTACGAATTGTTGCGACGTAATGTGTTGTTTCAATGTTATTAGAATACCATTGACACTTTTAACAGGAAGTTAAAAAAATAAGAATTCAGTATTTTTAATGTATTCAAGAGTACATGTGTTATTATCTTTTTTTATAGCTTTTATACAAACATCCAAACGTGTGTTATTATTGTTTGAATAATATTTTAATAATACTATGTTCTTTACTTTAAAAATATTCATCAGCACACGGTTATCATTTCTATCTCTTTTAGTATTTGTATAGGCCGCGGTATGGATTTAAAATATAATTTGTTTTGTTTTCTTATAACGAAATTTGATATGTTTTACAGCTACAGTAATATGTATTTTATTTACATTAATACTTATAGCCATATTAATTAACGGTTGATATCACATGTTTAATCCATTTCTATTTGTTCGGGATGTTTTGGTTTTAAATTCTGCGTTCGATAGTAGATTGTAACCACAATTGTGTTGAACGAGAATATCAAATAAAATATACCGTACATTACGGTCTTAACATAGGATTGTTTAAATTATTTCAATACTGACATTTATAATAATAGTATAGATATATATGTGTTACGGGTAAAGTTCAAAAATAGGTAGTTCACACATTACTTAGGTAAAGTATACATTATTCATATGAATAGTATAATGTGTACTGTTATCCACTGAAAAGATATGAATTAATAAAAAAAAACCCCATATTAAATCATATTGATACGAAAGAAAAAGTGATTAAGTAAATTATATATTA